CAGAAAGGTAAGATTGAACAGTTGCTTGAGAAGTTCAGGATGTCTGATTGTGCAGGTGCCAAAACTCCCATGGAGGCTGGATACGTGAAGGAGTGTCAGCAAGTAGAACGCATTGTGTTCGAAAATACTGAACTCTTTCAGTCAGCTCCGGGTAGTCTACTGTATCTGTCACAGTGGAGCAGACCAGACATAGTGTTTGCTGTCAATCTGCTCAGTAGAGAGGCTTCAAGTCCTAGTGTGCAGGCCTGGAATGGTATTAAGCGGGTGCTACGTTACCTGCAAGATACCAAAGATTTTTGCCTCAAGATGTCAGCTGAGGGCGGTGTCAAGCTGACCGCATGGGTGGATTCGGATTGGGCTAACCTTGAGGACCGCAGATCAGTGTCAGGCCTAGTGGTGAAATTTGGGGACTCAGTAGTTGGGTGGAGGTCCCGGAAGCAAAGTCTCATAGTGCTTTCATCTACTGAAGCTGAGTTCAGTGCTCTATCAGAGGTTTGCAGAGAGCTGGAGTTCTATGTGTGTTTGGTTGAGGAAATCTGTGGAGAGCATTGTCTGCCCATTGTGGTGCATGAAGACAATCAACCATGCCTCAAATTGGCCGAGACGGGGCAATTCAAGGCGAGGACCAAACATTTGGACATACGTTTCCGGAATGTATGTCAGAGTGTTCATGAGGGGCTAGTTGTTCTGAAATACTGTCCCTCAACCAAGAACCTCGCTGATGGTTTCACAAAACCATTAACTTTCCAGAAGCACGAGGAGTTCTGTGAGGGTCTGTGTATGGGGAAAGCATTGTTGGCTATTGTCCCCAGATGCAGGACAAGAGGGGGTGTGGAGTTTGGAACTGACAGGGTTAAAACTCCATGGTGTCCTGTATCTGGGAGGAGCTTGACGCCGAGAAGTGCGTCACAGTCTGTATCTCTGTTCAGACTTGCTTTCGATTCTGCCTAAGACGCAGCTCAACTCAGAGGCTGTGTGTGTGCTTTTGAGCACAGGAGATGCCGGAAATCTCCGATGGAATGTGACTGATTTATGGCTTGTAAATAAACGCTTCTAGAGATAAGAACCGAACTGTCTTTGGACTTGATTTATCCCTCATCTCACACGGACGCAGGACTGCTGCTACTCTGCTCTCCTGCCCAGGTCAGCCTCAAGCCCCAAAGCAGAGCTGCACAGGGGAAGCGCTGACTGGACGCAGGAATTGATTCTCCCAAAAGTTCATTGCTGTGAACAAAAGAGTGGACTCTGAAAGGAACATATCCCACACTCCATACATCTAAATGGGTTCTCCCCTCTGAGTCCTTAGATGTTCCTTAAACACTCCATTATAACTAAAGCACTTTCTGCAATCTTTCCCTTAAAACAGCTTCTCCTCTTTGAGGGTTGATGGGTTTGTAGGGTGTCAAGTGTTAAAGTTCTTCCTGTCCATGATTCTGTTGATGTAGGACTTCCACTAGGACTGAACCTCTGTCTACTTGACATTTATAGGGTTTCTCTCATGTGGGAGTTTGTTGATGTAAATCAAGGGTTCCACTCGGACTGAAGCTCCTTCCAAACTCCATACATTTAAATGGTTTCTTAACTGTGTGTCTGCTGAGGTTTTCTAAGATTTCCCCTTTGACTGAAGCTTTTTCTGCACTTCATGCATTTAAATGGTTTCTCCCCTGTGTGAGTCACATGATGTCTTCTAAGGCTTGCATTGAAACTGAAGCTCTTTGTATTGATGGAAGAGATTCATAAAGACCAAGCGGGCAGTTTAATTATGAAAAATGTTGGACAGAAGTGAAAAAAGATTTAGAAATTTGGTCAAATTTGAAGCTTTCACTGTTGCGTCGTATTGCTGTGATAAAAATGAATGTATTGCCTAGAATGTTGTTTTTGTTTCAGACACTGCAAATTGTGGACAAGATGGACTGTTTCAAAAAGTGGCAGAGAGATATCTCTAGATTTGTCTGGCAGGGCAAGAAGCCCAGAATAAAATTTAAGATATTAACTGATGCAAAGGAAAGGGGTGGATGTGCCCTGCCAGACTTTAAACTTTACTATGAATCAGCAGCTTTTTGCTGGTTGAAAGAATGGCTACTTCTTGAAAATACAGACATTTTGGATCTAGAAGTCTTTAACAACATATTTGGATGGCATGCATATTTATGGTATGATAAGGTCAAAGCACATAAAGCATTCAAAAATCATATTGTGAGGAAAGCATTGTTTAATGTTTGGATAAGATACAAGGATTTATTGGAAAATAAAACCCCAAGGTGGTTGTGACCGATGGAAGCGAAAGCTCTGAAAAGGCTCAATATGGAGGCCAAATGGCCGAAATATTGGGAAATTTTGGAACAAGAAGGAGATAGACTGAAACTGCAGAGTTTTGAGAAATTAAAAAACAAAGCGTGAGACTGGCTTCATTATTATCAGATAATGGAGGCATCTAATTTCGATAAGAAAATTGGCTTCCAGGTGGAAAAATCAAAATTAGAAACAGAACTGTTAGAACCCAAAACTAAGATTTTGTCAAAGATGTATAACTTGCTGTTGAAATGGAATACTCAGGATGAAACAGTGAAATCTGCTATGATTAAATGGGCACAAGATGTTGGACATAATATTATGTTTGCTGACTGGGAACAGTTATGGACCACAGGTATGACGTTTACGGCATGTAATGCCCTAAGAGAGAATATTATGAAAATGATATACAGGTAGTACATGACCCCAGTCAAGCTTGCAAAAATCTATCATTTGACCGATAATAACTGCTGGAAATGTAAAGAAACTGAAGGTACATTCTTTCACCTTTGGTGGACATGCCCAAGGATTAAGGCCTTCTGGGAAATGATATATAATGAACTGAAAAAGGTATTTAAATATACCTTCTTGAAGAAACCAGAGGCCTTTCTTCTGGGCATTGTCGGCCAATTGGTGTCAAAGAAGGACAGAACTTTTTTTATGTTGGAAGCTGTGGCTGGATGGTTACGTGGGAGCCGGTTGAAGCTAAATCCTTCAAAGACAGAGGTCCTGTGGCTGGGACGTGGCGATATGGGATTGGGGGGCAACTCCCATCTCTTGCGGGGGCGCAATTAGTGCCAGCACTGTCCGTTAAGAGTTTGGGTGTAATCTTCGACACCTCTCTTTCCATGGAGGCGCAGATTGCAGCTATAACAAAGGCGGCATTTTTCCATCTCCGCCAAGCTAAGCAGTTGGCTCCTTACCTCTCTCGCCCTGACCTAGCCACTGTGATCCACGCGACGGTCACCTCCAGACTGGATTATTGTAACTTGCTCTACGTGGGGCTGCCCTTGAGACTGACCCAGAAACTCCAGCGGGTGCAGAATGCTGCAGCGAGACTCCTTACGAGGTCTTCGCTGCGAGATCACATTCACCCGGTGCTACACCAGCTGCACTGGCTCCCGGTGGAGTACAGGATCAGGTTTAAGGTGCTGGTTTTAACCTTTAAAGCCCTCTACGGCCTAGGACCCTCGTACCTACGGGACCGCCTCTCCTGGTATGCCCCACAGAGAAACTTACGGTCTTCTAATAAAAACATCTTGAATGTCCCAGGCCACAGAGAAGTTAGGCTGGCCTCAACTAGAGCCAGGGCTTTTTCGGCTGTGGCTCCGATCTGGTGGAACACTCTGTCACAAGAGACCAGGGCCCTGCGGGACTTGACATCTTTCCGCAGGGCCTGCAAGACAGAGCTGTTCCACCAGGCCTTTGGCCAAGGCACAGTCTGACTCCCTCCCTCGGCAATCTTCGCAGAGCTCTGGCCCAATGGTTGCCAGTGGCCTGAATTAATTAATTTTATAATGAATGATTTTAGAATGTTGTTTATGCTATACTTTTATACTGTTTTATTGTTGTTAGCCGCCCTGAGTCTGGCTTCGGCTGGGGAGGGCGGGATATAAATAAAAATTATTATTATTATTATTATTATTATTATTATTATTATTATTATTATTATGTATGCTACAGCAGCAGCAAGAATACTCATTGCAAAGTATTGGAAGACACAAGAACTACCCACTTTGGAAGAATGGCAGATGAAGGTGATGGACTATATGGAACTGGCAGAAATGACTAGCAGAATCCAAGACCAGGGAGAAGAGTCGGTGGAAGAAGATTGGAAGAAATTTAAAGACTATCTACAGAAATATTGTAAAATTAATGAATGATAGAATGATGTAGGATAGCAATTAAGGGTTCCCAGCTGTAATGCTTTAAGAGAATATGAAAAAAGGGTTATAATTGGGTTAAAATCTAATGGTAAGGATTTGCTGAACCAATGAATTGAAGCGGAATACAAAAAAGGGAGGTATGAGGAGGTCCGGGAAATAAGCTAAAGGAAAATAAGTAATAGAAAATAGGTGTGCTTTTAACTGTTTTTATTTTGTATTTTTCTTTTTCATTTTTACGGTAATATTTCAAAAATCTTAATAAATATTATATATATATAAAAATAGAAAAGAAACTGAAGCTCTTTCCACATTCCATGCATTCTTATGGTTTCTCCCGTGTGTGTCCGTTGATGTATATTGAGGTGTCCACTCTTACTGAAGCTCTTTCCACATTCCATACATTTAAATGTTTTCTCCCCTGTGTGAATCCATTGATGTATTTTAAGGTTTCCATTTTGAGTGAAGCTCTTTCCGCACTCAATGCATTTAAATGGTTTCACCCTTTATGAGTCCGTTGATGTTTTCTAAGGTTTCCAATCTGAATGAAGCTCTTTCCACACGCCACATATTTATATGGTTTCTCCCCTGTGTAAATCCGTTGATGTGTTTTAAGGTCTCCATTCTGACTAAAGCTCTTTCCGCACTCAATGCATTTAAATGGTTTTCCCCCTGTGTGAGCCAGTTGATGTATTCTAAGGCTTGCATTGAAACTGAAGCTCTTTCCACATTCCATGCATTAAATGGATTCTCCCCTGTGTGAGTTTGCTGGTGTAATTTAAGGTCTCCTTTTTGATTGAAGCTCTTCCCGCATGCCATACATTCATATGGTTTTCCCCTGCCTGTGTGAGTCCGTTGATGTGATCGAAGGCCTGCATCGAAACTGAAGCTTTTTCCACACTCCATACATTTATATGGTTTCTCCCCTGTGTGAATCTGTTGATGTTTTCTAAGGTTTCCACTATCACTAAAGCTCTTTCCGCACTCCCTACATTTAAAAGGTTTCTCCCCTGTATGAGTCCGTTGATGCATATTGCGGTTTCCAATCTTACTGAAGCTCTTTCCACACTCCATACATTTATATGGTTTTTCACCCGTGTGAGTCCGTTGATGTATTCTAAGTTTATCACTCTGACTGAAGCTCTTTCCACACTCCATACATTTATATGGTTTCTCCCCTGTGTGAGTCTGGTGATGTCTATTGAGGTGTCCACTCTGACTGAAGCTCTTTCCACACTCCATACATTGAAATGGTTTCTCCCCTGTGTGAGTCTGGTGATGTTTATTGAGGTGTCCACTCCGACTGAAGCTCTTTCCACACTCCATACATTGAAATGGTTTTTCACCCGTGTGAGTCCGTTGATGTGAACTTAAGTGTCCACTCCGACAGAAGCTTTTTCCACACTCCATACATTGAAATGGTTTCTCCCCTGTGTGAATCCGTTGATGTTTTCTAAGGTTTCCACTATCACTAAAGCTCTTTCCGCACTCCCTACATTTAAAAGGTTTCTCCCCTGTATGAGTCCGTTGATGCATATTGCGGTTTCCAATCTTACTGAAGCTCTTTCCACACTCCATACATTTATATGGTTTTTCACCCGTGTGAGTCCATTGATGTCTATTGAGGTGGTCACTCTGACTGAAGCTCTTTCCACACTCCATACATTTATATGGTTTCTCCCCTGTGTGAGTCTGGTGATGTCTATTGAGGTGGTCACTCTGACTGAAGCTCTTTCCACACTCCATACATTTATATGGTTTCTCCCCTGTGTGAGTCTGGTGATGTTTATTGAAGTGTCCACTCTCACTGAAGCTCTTTCCACACTCCATACATTGAAATGGTTTTTCACCCGTGTGAGTCCGTTGATGTGAAGTTAAGTGTCCACTCCGACAGAAGCTTTTTCCACACTCCATACATTGAAATGGTTTCTCCCCTGTGTGAATCCGCTGATGTTTTCTAAGGTCTCCACTCTGACTGAAGCTCTTTCCGCACTCCATACATTTATATGGTTTTTCACCGGTGTGACTTCGCTGGTGTAATTTAAGTTCTCCATTCTGCCTGAAGCTCTTCCCACACTCCATGCATTTAAAAGGTTTTTCACCCGTGTGAATCTGTAGGTGTGAACTTAAGTGTCCACTCCGACAGAAGCTTTTTCCACACTCCATACATTGAAATGGTTTCTCCCCTGTGTGAATCCGTTGATGATTTCTAAGGCCTCCACTCTGACTAAAGCTCTTTCCGCACTCTATACATTGATATGGTTTCTCCCCTGTGTGAATCCGTTGATGTTTTCTAAGGTCTCTACTATCACTAAAACTCTTTCCGCACTCTATGCATTTATATGGTTTTTCCCCTGTGTGTCCGCTGATGTATATTGGGGAATCCTCTCTGACTGAAGTTCTTCCACACTCCCTGCATTGTAATCCTTTCTTGTCCATGTAAATCCGCTGATGTGTTCTAAGTTTTCCACTATCAGTGTAACTTTCCCCACACTCCATACCTTTAAATGGTTTCTCCTCTCAGAGTCATTGATGTGAGCTATGTGTCCTCATTCAATGAAGCATATCCCACATTTCACACATTTTAATTTCTATTCCTAATGAAACAAAAGGTGCCCCATTCCTTGGAATTCTGAATGTCTTCTCCATCACGTTCCTCAGAGTGGGAGGAAAGGAAATCCTGTTTGGGTTTCAAGGAAGAGAACAAAGGGAAAGAGAGCACATCAAGTGCCATTAGCCTCTTCTCTTATATCAACATCTCCTACATTCCCCCGCCTCCTACCCATGTTCCCAATTTTTTGGAAATGAAAAAGCAATGTCATCAAATGATAGTAATGCATCACCACCTTTCATAATCCTCAATCATTGTTAATAAAGCAGCATGATCTTGGAACACAGCCTTTTCAAATCAATTGTTTCCTCACAGGAAAGGCAGCTGCTCTCTGTCCGTGAACAGGCCCTCTCTTTCTCTGGTCCATCGTTCCTTTGGACATTCCCCATCCTCTGCATCATAATCCTGCATGCACCTCTAGATCTTTATGAATCACCTGCACAGTCTCATTGGCCACAAGAGGTCCATGTGGACCATTTTGGGAGGCCCAGGTCTACATCTTCTCCAGGGACTGCGGTCTGGGTCAGTCAGAGAACTAGTGACAAGGCTTGGTGCTTGGGGTCAGCTGAATGGGTGCTCAGGGAAGCTCCTGTTCTTGGAGATGGACCTCCATCTACATGCCTCAGATTGCATGGAGAGAGCAGGAGAAGCAGAAGAAAAGCAGCTGGTACATCGGAATCCCAGACCCCCACTGCTCCTTATAATAATGATGGGCTGCCTGATCTCGAGCCCATCCTAAAGTGACACTGAAAAAGCTGCATATTAAAGGCAAATGGATAACTGTACTAGTGAAAACTTCTACCTTGAATATGTAGTGTTGAATTATTGATGGCCTGAAGTTGTTTTATTTCTAGAGACAGGAATTCATTCAGGTTCTGTCTCAAATATAGCTATTATATGATGTCATGAGGTGTCATGGGAGCGGTAGTACCTTTGGTGGTCCCCACCCTGCACTCAGCTCTCACCTGTGCCTTCCAGAAGCTGTCAGGATGAATCAGGGGCCACAATCCCTGGAATGGCTTCAACCGGCTGGCAAAACCAGGTGAGGATAGCTGATGGGTCTCAAATCCTTGGGGGGCTGGGCAATTCTGCTGCACCTGAAGTCAAGCCCTGGTGGATGGAGAGGATGAGAAGAACAGTGAATCCCACAGTCTAGAAGGCAGATTCTGCCCATCCTGCAGAGGAAAGTGAAGGGCAGATGGGATCGTCAACCAGGGAAGGAAGCCCATCGAGAAGGAAAACTCTGGTCCTAAACCTTCACTGCCTCATGAGTTATGTTCAGGAGAAGAAAAGGCTATGGAGGGAAACCCACACAAATCCAGAGTGGAGTCTCTAAGACGGTTGGATGGTGTCCTGCACACCTTCTTCATTAACTCCTGCAGCCAAGCTGGTGCCAAACATACTGCTCTGCTTTCCTTGGGACCATATCAGCTGGGCTGAGAAGGGGGTCTGGTTGTCTAGGCAGCCCAGGACCCCCAAACACCCTGCCCAGGCTGGCAGTGCTACAAACACAGCAGTTTAAAGTGGGGAGATGGGCTCAGAGCTGTGTATCAAAGTCTCTCCGATGTGGAACAAGGGAAACAGAAACAAAATTTACATCAAAAAGGTAAAGGTAAAGAGACCCCTGACCATTAGGTCCAGTCGTGGCCGACTCTGGGGTTGCGGCGCTCATCTCGCTTTATTGGCCGAGGGAGCCAGCGGCATACAGCTTCTGGGTCATGTGGCCAGCATGACTGAGCCGCTTCTGGCGAACCAGAGCAGCGCATGGAAACGCCGTTTACCGTCCCGCCGGAGTGGTACCTATTTATCTACCTGCACCTTGGCGTGCTTTCGAACTGCTAGGTTGGCAGTAGCAGGGACCGAGCAATGGGAGCTCACTGCATCACGGGGATTCGAACCGCCGACCTTCTGATTGGCAAGTCCTACGCTCTGTGGTTTAACCCACAGCACACCCGGATCCCATATTTACATCATACGGCACTGTAAAAGTATTCAAAATATTTGTTTTTCGAAGAAAAGACCACAATGTATCATGTGGCCCCTTCAAAGCTAATGAAAGTCTTGTGGCTGGAGCTTTTGGGGGTGCAGGACCAGGAAAGCTCCTGCCACCATGATCCTTCCAATGGGGATTCAGGCCTCATCATGGGACTGAAATTGCCCTGGTTGTGCTGGTTGATGATCTCCAACGGGCCAGAGGCTGAGGGGGAAGCTGTTTCCTGGTTCTGCTGGATCTCTCAGCGGCTTTGGAGACCTTTGGTCATGGTGTCCTTCTGGACCCTCTAGGGCAGCTGGGGGCCCTGCTATGCAGTGGTTCCCCTCCTTCCTCCTGGGCCATGTCCAGAAAGTGGTGTTGGGTGATGAGTGTTCAGACCCCTGGATGCTTACTTGTGGGGTGCCTCAGGACTCCATTCTCTCCCCCATGCTTTTTACTATCTATATGCAGCCACTGGGAGAGATCATCAGGGGGTTTGGGCTGGGTGTTCACCAGTATGTGGATGATGCCCAGCTCTTCCTTTCTTTTAAATTGGAACTAGTGAGGATGGTGAATGCCCTGTGTGTCTGTTTGGAGGTGGTTGGAGGATGGATGGCGGCCAACACATTGAGGTTGAATCCTGACAAGTCAGAAATACTGTCCCTGGGGGAGGGTGGGAGCACTCCTGGTTCTGATGGGGTAACTGTGCCCCTGAAGGACCAGGTGTGCAGCCTGGGGGTCACCGCCTTCTGGGATCCATTTGTGAACAGAATGTGTGAGTCAACTCTTTTTATACTTTTATAGAAGATTGTGTCGTGTCTATCTTTTTATGAGGGACTAAAGTGGAAATTACCAAGGAAACTTATTTTAGAGGCTTTAGCGAGCCTGAGCAAATGCATCCGCTGTAAGTTTAAAAGGGAGAATGTTACTCTGCTAAATTGTACAGGCATAGAAAAGTACGGATCTAAGTACAGCGATAATTCCTAACCTATCGGTTCAAGAAAGTTCTGGTAGTTTTACTCTGCATGATTCAAAGCTGGTGTTTTCTCTAGATCATGGGGAGGCAAACTAAGGCCTGGGGGTATAAATGTGATGATGATGATGATGATGATGATGATGATGATGATCTTGTGGGGTTTTTAAAAGTTATTTTGGAATTCGTACTGCTATATCAGCTCACAAAATGTTATAGGTGGAGAAAATCACAGGGTTGCTGTAAAATATAATCCCACCCATGACTTCTCATTCATATACAATCTGTAAATTTGGGGAGGTCACACACCTCACCTGTGCTAATACTGGCAGACTTTGACCTCCACAGGCACACCCGGTGTGTAGAGCTTCCAGCCCCAGGCACTGTCTATCAAGAAAAGGGGTCCTTTGACTGGGAAGATGACACGCAGTGTGAATTAATAATGCAGAGTTTTAAAGAATAAAAGCTTTACTGAATTAAAAGAAGCTTCTTCATAAACAACATGGTTCCAAACAGTTTGACTGAGATTGCACACAGACTCTGCTCACGGCTGAGACAGACAGACTCTTGCTGAAATCTTACAGAGAGCACAAAGTGCAACTGGCTACTACGTCACATGTCAGAATGACTCCACAGTTAGCAGTTAAGCCTGAATAAATTGAGGAGGCCCAAATGACTGTGCAGTCCCTGCACTTCCCAGCCTGCTTGGCTGCTTCTGCTCTCATGTGTCTTTGTCACGTGACCAAAGATTCATGCAGTCACTGTCATCGGATGATGAAGGATTGTATCTCAGCTTGTCAGTCACTCTGACATTGCCTACAAAGAATAGGGGGAACAGAAATGCTTTTGAGGTGCAACTTCTCTATCAATCCTGAGAGCCATTCCATGGACTCTGCACCCCTGTTTCTGAGGACAGGTGTACATTATCCTCACCCTCAGCGGAAAAGACAATAAAGATGGCAGCCTGAGAGAGAGGAAAAGGTTTCTGGCTGCTTCCTGGGTGGGATTGCGGAAACCAAGAGCCGCTTCTGAGAAGGCCTCTCCCCTCCTCTCGTGTCACAGCTAAAAATTGGCCGCTGTTTCTTTAATGCTTAAAAAGCTGCGGGTTGTATATATAGAGTGAGAAATGTTAGTTTGGTGTTGGGTTAGTTGGTTGGTGAAAGCTGGCAGTGTTGATGTGTGTACAGTTGGTCAGTCGCTTTTGCAGAAAGACTTTTGAGAATACAGTGGTACCTCGGGTTAAGTACTTAATTTGTTCCGGAATTCCATTCATAACCTGAAACTGTTCTTAACCTGAAGCACCACTTTAGCTAATGGGGCCTCCTGCTGCCGCTGCACCACCACCACAATATTTCTGTTTTCATCCTGAAGCAAAGTTCTTAACCTGAGGGATTATTTCTCAGTTATCGGAGTCTGTAACCTGAAGCGTCTGTAACCCAAGGTACCACTGTAAAAGCAGAAAGTACTCTGCAAGGATGCTCTTCTCGTGGACTCTTTTATGCTGACAAGGGCCCAAGGACCAGGCTGAGGCGACCAAGGGAGGCCAGAACCTTCTCTTTTCTTTCTACAAATACTGACATTTCTTCCTCTGAACTTACTCTCCTCTCCAGGGGACCAAGGAATGGACTGGGCAGATTCGCTGTGTCTGGACAGGGCAGGGGCTTATGGGGCAGGAAGAGGATGGAGATTGCAGGAAAGAAGGGTGGGGGCAGGACCCCCACTTTCCAGGGATCCCTCTCTGGTCGCCTTGAGGGGGGGGTCAATTACTGGGCAGGAGAGAGAGGCCAAGGCTGTTCCACCAGAGATCCCCCGCAGCTGCCACAATGGAGACGCGATATCTCCTCCCCCCCCCCGCCAATGCTGCCCTTCCCTGCCCCTGGGATGCTCCTGTTAACGGAAAAATCTGAGGGCTCCCTTGGACAAAAAGTAAAGACACCAACCAGGATAACTTGGAGCAAAACAGCAGCCTGTAGGCTTGGCCTTGATTGAACTGTTGCAACAGGGTGTTCCCCTCACTCGCAGGAGAGAGGAAAGACCCAGAACAATGGGCTGCAAGACCTTATAAAAACTTTTGAAATTCCCCTCCTCTAGCTCAAGCCCACCCCCAACAGGGTGTTCCCCTCACTCGCAGGAGAGAGGAAAGACCCAGAACAATGGGCTGCAAGACCTTATAAAAACTTTTGAAATTCCCCTCCTCTAGCTCAAGCCCACCCCCAGAAACATCATGCATACATTTCAGAAAGGAGGGGTTGAGGGAGGAGTTGTGGTGGTAACCTGAGTGTCCTGTCACCCAGCTGGTTCCTCCTTTCCCCCTCCCCATGAGTACTTTCCAGGTGACAATGGGGAGTTTGCAGTTTCCTGCCCCCAGAGGGAAGATCTGATCATTGTCCTTTGTTTCAGTCTGTGGTGAATCCACTGTTCTTTGTGATTTTGATTGTCTTCTGTCTGGGATTATCAGGGTTGACATAGCAACTGGGCAGGGCTCCTGTGGATGTGCTGGGATGGTGAAGGGATTATGGCTGACCAGAAACCAAGCACCCCCCTTTGATAGTCCTTGTCACGTGGAGTAAAAAAAATGGAACAGTGCAAATCCAATGTATGGTTGATTTTCTATGAATTTATAACAGAAATGTGGCGTATGTAGTGTGTGAGTGTGAGTGTGTGTGAAGTTTGTGCAAACAGAATGATTGGGGTGGGGGGGTTCCTGCTACACTCCTCTCCCTCCCCCCCCCAAATTCCTTGACCCCCTCCCTCTCTCCTGAGTCTCTCCTGCATCCAGAGGCTCCCTTGGCTCTGCTCACCCCACACCCTGAGCCCCCATCTCTCCAGCCGGAGGCGCCCCCCCCAGGGAACATGGGAGGGACAGGGGGTCTCTATCCAGGCGTCTCTCGCGCCGCTTAACCCTTTCATGGGCCGCTTTTCTCCGCGCAGAGCCAGGGGAGACGGGTGAGGGGTCCGCCCTGCGAGGAAAGCCCCCTGGGGGCGCTTGGGGGAGCTGGCGGGGGTCTCTGGGTCCTTTCCCCCCTCTCCGCCCCCCCCCCGCGACCCCTTTACCTCTTTGTCCTCGCTCCCGATCCTCCTTTCCTGCAACATCCACGGGGGGGGGTCCCCTGCCTCCTCCCTCCCTTTCCGAAAGCGCCCCCCTCCCAGCTATGGGGCAGAGCAGCAATCCGGAGTGGAAGCTCCACTACCGGGAGAAGCAGAAAGGTTGGGAGGGGGGCTCCCCGCCCCACATTTCTGGAGCAGAAGCCGGATTGGAGGAGGAGGAGGAGCAATGTATTGGGGGAGGGATTTGGGATGATGGGGGCGGGATGAGAGAAGGATGTGCCGGGAGGGGAGGAAAAGTATTGAGCGGGGGGGGGGGAGAAGGAGGAGAGGAAATACCCCCCCGTCTTCCTTCTGGGGATCAGGAGAGGGGGGAGGGGCTGATCCCGACAACCCAACAGCGAAGTCACAAAATGAGTTCTGCATTTAAATCAGATCAGACTCCGAGTTCGTGTTTGGGCAACATGACAGGTCTGTCTGTCCGTCGGGATGCCTGAGGATTCCTGCTCGCTGCCTTTTCCTGGCCAGCCTGAGAGATCACTGGAAAGGGAGGATTTCTTGACTCCAGAATCCATCATCGCAGACCCCTTTTATTCAGGCCTAGAGATTTGCTCTTTCGCCCAGTCTGCTTGGATCATGTGGATCATCAATGGATCATATAAATCATCACTGGATCATCCATGATGTCATACCCGTCTCACGGAGGGGGGGGGCTCAGGATGAATCTCCTGCCACGTGACTGGGGGAGTCTGGGGGCTGACGGGGGTCAGACAGGGCTGCTGTTTTGCTCTCCTTACTATTTCAGCTCAGGTTTTACTGAAATGGGTGGATTCATTGAGGAAACGGGGCTACGTTGAAAAGAGGCCAATGTGTCTACTTTGTTACCACCCAGTGAGTTGTGTTGCAAAGGCCATTTGCAGAAAGGCTCCTATTGTATCACCTGCGGCTACATGCTGGAGTTTGGGTGTTCTGTGGAAATGTGTCTCTATAAATGCACTTATCCCCTTGAGTTTATAATGGCAAGACATTAAATCCCATGAGATGTGCAAACTGGAAGCACCACTCTGCAGCCCTGCCTGATGCATGTTGAGAATCATAGAATCATAGAATGTTTAGGTGGAATCTTCTTTCTTGTAGTTTGAATCCATTGCTCCGTGTCCGCTTCTCCGGAGCAGCAGAAAACAACCTTTCTCCCTCCTCCATGTGACATCCTTTTATATATTTGAACATGGCTATCATATCACCCCTTAACCTCCTCTTCTCTAGGCTAAACATGCCCAGCTCCCTTAGCCGTTCCTCATAAGGCATTGTTTCCAGGCCTTTGACCATTTTGGTTGCCCTCCTCTGGACACGTTCCAGTTTGTCAGCGTCCTTCTTGAACTGTGGTGCCCAGAACTGGACACAGTACTCCAGGTGAGGTCTGACCAGAGCAGAATACAGTGGCACTATTACTTCCCTTGATCTAGATGCTATACTCCTATTGATGCAGCCCAGAATTGCATTGGCTTTTTTAGCTGCCGCGTCACACTGTTGACTCATGTCAAGTTTGTGGTCAGCCAAGACTCCTAGATCCTTTTCACATGTACTGCTCTCAAGCCAGGTGTCACTCATCTTGTATTTGTGCCTCTCATTTTTTTTGCCCAAGTGCAATACTTTACATTTCTCCCTGTTAAAATTCATCTTGTTTGTTTTTGCCCAGTTCTCTAATCTGTCAAGGTCGTTTTGAAGTGTGATCCTGTCCTCTGGGGTGTTAGCCACCCCTCCCAGTTTGGTGTCATCTGCAAATTTGATCAGGATACCCTTGAGTCCATCATCCAAGTCATTGATAAAGATGTTGAATAAGACCGGGCCCAAGACAGAACCCTGTGGCACCCCACTAGTCACTCTTCTCCAGGATGAAGAGGAACCATTGATGAGCACCCTTTGGGTTCGGTCAGTCAGCCAGTTACAAATCCACTGAGTGGTAGCATAGTCAAAACCACATTTTACCAGCTTCTTTACAAGAATATCATGGGGCACCTTGTCAAATGCCTTGCTGAAATCAAGGTAGGCTACATCCACTGCGTTCCCTTCATCTACCAGGCTTGTAATTCTGTCAAAAAACGAGATCAGGTTAGTCTGACATGACTTATTTTTCAGAAATCCATGCTGACTATTGGTGATCACAGCATTCCTTTCTAGGTGCTCACAGACTGTTTGCTTAATGATCTGCTCCAGAATCTTCCCTGGTATTGATGTCAGACTGACTGGGCGGTAATTATTTGGGTCCTCTCTTTTCCCCTTTTTGAAAATGGGGACAACATTTGCCCTCCTCCAGTCTGCCGGGACTTCGCCTGTTCTCCAGGAATTCTCAAAGATGACTGCCAGTGGTTCTGAGATCACCTCTGCCAGTTCTTTTAATACTCTTGGATGCAGTTCATCTGGCCCTGGAGACTTGAATACATCTAAACTAGCCAAATATTCTTGTACTATCTCCTTAGTTATTCTGGGCTGTGTTTCCTTTGCTGAATTATTTGCTCCAAATTCTTCAGGTCGGGCATTGTTTTCTTTATCGGAGAAGACAGAGGCAAAGAAGGCATTGAGGAGTTCATCCCTTTCTGTGTCCCCTGTTTGCATTTCACCATCTTCTCCTCTGAGTGACCCCACTGTTTCTTTGTTCTTCCTTTTGCTACGAACATACCCATAAAAGCCTTTTTTGTTGCTTTTAACCTCTCTAGCAAGCCTGAGTTCATTCTGGGCTTTAGCTTTTCTGACTTTGTGTCTACACGTGCTGGCTATTTGTTTGAATTCCTCTTTGGTGGTTTCCCCCCTTTTCCATTTTTTGTACACATCCTTTTTTAATCTTAACTCAGTTAAAAGTTCTTTAGATAGCCACCCTGGCTTCTTTAGGCACCTTCCATGTTTCCGTCTCATTGGTATTGCCTGAAGTTGTGCTTTTACTATCTCCCTCTTAACAAACTCCCAGCCATCATGAACTCCCTTTCCTTTTAGTATTACTGTCCATGGGATCTCACCCAGCACTTCCCTAAGTTTTATGAAGTCGGCTTTCTTAAAGTCAAGAAATTGAGTCCTAGTATGCTTGGCTGCTCCTTTCCGCTGTATAGTAAACTTCAGAAGAGCATGATCACTCGCGCCTAATGATCCTTCCACTTCTACCCCACTGACCAGGTCATCAACATTGGTTAGGACCAGATCTAAAATGGCTGTTCCTCTTGTTGCTTCTCCCACTTTCTGGACAATGAAGTTGTCTGCAAGGCCAGTGAGGAATCTGTTTGACTTTAAGCTCTTGGCTGAGTTTGACGTCCAACAAATATCCGGGTAATTGAAGTCCCCCATTACTACTATCTCCCTTCCTTTTGCATGCTTGGCCATCTGTTCCAGGAAGGCATCATCTATGTCCTCCGTTTGGCTTGGGGATCTATAGTAAACTCCCACAATGAGGTCTCTGTTATTCTTCTCTCCCTTAATCTTGACCCAAATGCTCTCACTTTGGCTTTGATGATCTAAATCTTGGATCTCTTCACAGGTATACACATCCTTGACATATAATGCCACTCCTCCTCCTTTCTTGTCTGGTCTGTTTCTCTGAAATAGATTGTATCCCCCCATTATTACATTCCAATTGTGGGACTTATCCCACCAGGTTTCAGTGATGCCTATTATGTCATATTTAGTTTGCTGTACTAAGAGCTCAAGCTCATCTTGTTTATTTCCCATGCTTTGCGCATTAGTGTACAGACATTGAAGTCCATTAATCATTCCCCCGTGTCTCTTATTTAAGGATTTTTTCCTCCCACCACTAGGTCCGCGTGCTGTTTGCTCCATTTGGTCTTTGACATTTGGATATCATCTTCATTAATTGATAGACTCCTACCTTCAGGAGCGCTGTCTCCCTCCCCCACATTAGTCAGTTTAAAGCCCTCCTGATGAGGTTTCTGAGATTTTTGGCAAAAACATTTCTCCCAACCGTTGTGAGGTGCAGCCCATCACTTGCCAGAAGTCCATCTTCAAGAAACTGCAGTCCGTGATCTAAGAATCCAAAACGTTCCTGTTTACACCATTTGCGAAGCCAGCTGTTCACTTCCACTATTTTCCCCTCTCTCCCTGGGCCACGTCGTTCAACTGGGAGGAGAGATGAGATGACAATTTGTGCATTTAGTTGCTTCAATTTCCTGCCGAGAGCCTTGTAGTCTCTTTTGATCTTCTGGAGGCTATTGCTTGCAGTGTCATTGGTTCCCACATGAACCAAGAGGAAGGGGTATTCGTCAGAGGGTTTTATGATTCCTTGCAGTCGTTCAGTTACATCTTGGATCTTAGCCCCAGGGAGACAGCACACTTCCCGAGACATCTTGTCAGGCCCACAAATCACTGCTTCTGTTCCCCTCAGTAGGGAATCCCCTATCACCACTACACGCCTCCTCTTAGGTTTGGTCGGGGTTCTTCCATGAGCTGTCCGTTCCAAGGTCGCCTGCACATTCCCTGAGGACTGACTTTGCTGCTCGTCTTCATTTACCTGACCGACTGTAATGAGGGAGAGATCCTCAAATGGAGTCTGCTCTTCGTCTTCCATGCTAGGGGAGAGGACCTCAAAGCGATTGTGTATTTCTAAACAATCAGAACGAACCCTGGGCCTCCTACTTCTTTGAGTCACGTTTCTCCATATATCTGGCTCCTGTGTTGGTGAACTAGCCTCCTTCTCAGGGGAGTCCCCTGTCTCCTCCTTGATGGAGACGGTGTGGTCTGTTGCTTCCAAGAAGAGCTCCAGTTCTCTAATTCTTTGGAGCGTAGCTACACGTTCCTCCAGTTGCTGGACTTTGTCTTTTAAGAGGGCAATCAACATGCAATTGCTGCAGGTAAAGCTGCCTGCAACCTTTGGCAAGAAGGCAAACATTGCGCAGGAACCGCAGGCGACAGCAGCTGTTCCCTCCCCCTCCATCTTGAGAATGTGTCGTTGGGGGTGGCTACAGCGGTCCTCCATCATAAAAAGCGTGAAGACAGGACAAATAACTCACCCCACAAAAAAAAACCTAGGTCTCCCCCAACAAACGTTTGAGACTAGCTCCCCTAAATCTAAAAGATGGATCAAACTGTGCGCGCCGCTAGGCACGCGCCGCTGCCCTGCTAGCTCTGATAAGCTCCTCCCACAGCTAATCACCTTCCTCAACAGAAACCCTGCCCCCTCTGACCTTTG